CTCACGATTGCTTAGTTAAGAAGGCAGTGGGGAATGATTTTCATCTATTCATTTTCTAGCTGAATATTTCAAAGGGTTTTCAGTGATTCTTATGACAAGCGGTATCAAGAAAAATGTCCTATTCGAAAACCTGGGAAAAAGAAACTCAATTAGTTTAATGGTTTTTAGATATTAAATATTTTGTGGGATGGACAATTATGATGTAACATGATTTGGACAATTCTGCTGTTATATTCAGTATATATATATATATATATATATATATATATATATATATATATATATATATATATATATATAAAAGAAAGAGGTTATAGTGTTTTCAACGAGAGAAAATGTGTATATTAAAAAAAAGAAATAAATGTTTTATGTTTTATAATGTGGATTTTTTTTTTTAAATATTATGCTTTATTTTCCATAATTTTTACTACGTGTTTCTGGTCTCACGACCATCTTCAGGTAAAAGGTGGAGATTTCAGATATTATTAAAAATAATTAATTTTTTTCCTTTTGGAAATCTCCACCTTTTATCTGAAGATGGTCGCGAGATCAGAAACCCGTAGTAAAATTATGGAAAATAAAGCATAATATTTAAAAAAAAATCCACATTACAACCAAAAACGTTTGCAGCACCTCTGTTCTCTTCTTTTTATTATATATATATATATATATATATATATATATATATATATTCAGGATTCAAGCCTATGTTCCCCTAGGAAAAACCATCATTAAATTTGACATACTTTAAACTCTTGGCTGCAAATAACCTGATGGCCAAACAAAATCCGAAGAGCAGTGCTTTTAAACACAGATTTTTTCCTGTTTCTTGAAATATACATATCTGTTCAGTTTCATATCCTAATGTAAACAAAGCAATTTTAGGAATGGATTTTATTACTTAAATGTTATTTTTAGTGGATACCCCTATTTGAGTAGATGGCCTGTTAATTTATTTTATACACCGGCCTGAATATTTGAGAAAATCATATATATATATATATATATATATATATATATATATATATATATATATATATATATATGTTGAATAGTGCCCTTAAACAAAATTCTTCTCAACATAGATTCTCAAAATTTTCATATCTGCTGAGTTTCATATCCAAACGTAAACAAAGCAGTTTCTAAAGTAATGGATTTTTTATTTATTAAACCAACAAATTTTATCACCTTAAATGTTATTTTTAGTGGATACTCATATTTGAGTAGATGCACCATTTATTTATGTCTATCAGTCTGAATATTTGAAAGATCTTATTAAAGAAAAATATGTGCTCCCTCGCAGTATATGAATCTGCATACCCCTTGGCAGAGGGAACTGTCATTAGATCTGATGTGCTTTAACCAACTCAGCTACAAAGAATTTTACTTATCAAGCAAGGCTGAATAGTTCACTAATCCTTTTATTTTCTGTTTTTTTTTTTTTTAACTTATTTATGTAATTTTTGTTTGTAATGGAAAAATTAGTATGGATATTTGGGTAATCTAACAGATATCAGTTCAAAAAGTGGAATCAGTAGGCCATGTTCCAATTCTGGTCTAGTTTATTGTATTCACTTTCATACTAAAATTTTTGTTCTCTCTGCTAAGGTTAGGTATTGAACTCACAGCTCTCTACTTTTGGCCATGTGCCCCCAAAGTCAATTAATTAAAACTGAGATAGCCAAAAGCATGGCACGTGGAATTAGAAAAATCTACCCTCATGGACTAAATAAAGAGTTTGGTTCAAAATTTCAACAACCACTTGAAGAAGGCAAGAGCATAAAATGGCCAAAACATCATGAATGTAACAGTAAAGATGAGAACAGTAGTCGAAACAATGTAAATAGTTACAATATCTCATCTCAGAAATATAGACAGAAATACCATCTTCCTCTTAGTTTCATCAATGCTGACCTGTACACGGGATCAACTCATTTCCATTTTGTTCATATTCCATTAGTCAGGAGGTAGTTCTTCCTTAGAACTGTTACTTTATGGAACAGATTCCCAAAAGGATGCTTCCTCAATAAGTAGAATCTTAACCTCTTCAAGTTTTGGGTGAATCATTATCTATCCTACATATCCTCATCATCAGCACATCTTACTTCCTCCTTACAAAAAGCTTATTCAGTAAACCTCTACCTTTGAGTCTTGGTATTTGTAGAACAATAGTATAAAAAATATTCTAACAGAATCAATAATGAGGAGGATATGGTGCTTATGATAGAATTATGGTGGAGCTGCTTGATAGTGTTATGGTTGTCAGTATGGAAAATGAAATCAGAGAAGTGAATTCAAATTCTGGTTGGTGCACTTTGTGTTCACTTCTTACTAATGCCCTTGAGGAAAGGCATAAAATATATCTCTTCTAATAGGTCAGGTTGAGGATTACCCTCTGCTGCTTGTCCCCAACTATATGCAAATAGTAAGGCAAATGGAAACCTTCAGATCTGTCAAACAGTCTGTCCAAGAGAAAATAAAATGATGAAACCTAATGGCCAATCTTGTAATATGCTTAAATTCACACAGTCGAGGTATCAAGGAGGAGAATGCACTAGAACACTTACCATGAAAATATTTACACTATTTACATTATTCAGACTATTGTCCTCATCTTTGTCGCCATGTTTATCACAACGTTTCAGCCGTTGTACACTCTGGCCTTCTTCAGGTGGTTGGAATGTTGAACTGAACCCTTTATTTTGCTCACTGGAGTAAACTGTTCTAGTTCCACGTGCCATGTCTAATGGATGTCAGTTATCTCCTATTAATTCCACTCTGAAAGTTCTCCACTGCCTTAACCAGGTATTGAACTCACACTCTTTGGGTCCTGCCACTGGATCTAACACCTTTATCCACTGTGCCATGTGTCCTTGAGCGTACAACGGCTGAAACGTTGTGATAAACATGGCGACAAAGATGAGGACAATAGTTCGAATAATGTCAATAGTGACAACAGAAAGGCATGTTCATTCTGGTGAAATACATAAATGCTGTAGCCATATCACAAATTAAACTGAAAAAGAAAAAAGTCATCATGAAAACAATGGTTCACTAACTTGTCTTGCTGACCATTAACTCATAGAGTGAATTTCATCTGCAATGGGTGCATCATGGTTGAAGACTAAGCTATACTTAGCAGAAAAGAATGACACTGACATAAAGAGATATTGAGTAAACTAGGCTCAGAAAACTATTTCTCTCTCTGCCAGTATCTCTTCAGGGTGTGAGTGATTATAGCTCTTCACAGTTTCCCTTTTTGTTGTTTTCAGCAATATTACTCCTTTATGACTAATCTTTGTCCTTGTGGCATTATTCTTCCATATTTAATAATCCAACAAGAGTTGGCATCTTAAAATCAACCTGCCTAAACTGCAGCTTCAAACTTGTCAAGTATGTTACCACCTAATTTCCTCTACATCACTTGCCTTCAAGGTGCCTTGTGAGACGTAAACTCTCTTAGCCTTCTTTTCTCATTATATGTTCCCAAAAGTTCAACTATCTCTTTTGGATTGTAGATCTTATTCTCCTTAAAACTTCCTCATTTGTTACATGATCAGTCCATGATATTCCAAAACATTCCTTCCTAAATCAACATTTCAATCACTTCAAATCTTTTCTTCATTCAAGATTAAACTGTCAAACATTCATTGTTATATAGGAGTTTAAACAAGATATTATCTTGACTGGGAGTATAAGAAGGTAAGTTCAGTGAAAATCAGTTTTAAAAAGGAAGTAATAATTAGAATGACATTTATGTACTTTTTACAGGTTTGATTCAGGGAGAATAAGAAATGGCTAATCTCTGAAGTTCATTGTGAGTTCCAATCTCGTCGCCCACATGACATAAGAAAATTGATTTTCAATCTTTATGAATGTGCAGGCATCTTGCTGATAATTCAACACTTGTCTAAACTGGAGTCATACAAAATATTTTTATTAGATTTTAACCAGACTTAAAATATTTAAAAAAAAATAAAAAATATGTCCAAGACTTAATTCACAAAATTGGAGTGAATCTTGTTCTTTATATATTTCGCAATTTTTAAAAATATTCAGAATAAGAAAAGTTCATAAATTTCTAAGTTTCGTTGTGCAAATCGCGTAAGTTATACTGGTATCTCGTCTTAGTTTTAGTGGCTGTCAAATCAAGGGGAGATAATTGTGAATAATTAAAGTAAAGTTACTTCCCTTAGATAAAACTTTACGTTTCATATTTTTATTTATGAAATGACCCCATAAAAATAACTAAACTTGAAATTTTTTTATTTAGGTTAAGAAAATATACATTTCATTTAGAAAAAATTATGGAAAAGCATACGATGTTCAAATTTCTTCAATTAGATGATAATATGAAAAATTAATTTTTCACTTCGTAAGTGTCTTTGTAAAAAAAAAAAAAACAAATTGTTTAATTATTATTTAAAACTAAATGCAGATGTTTTTATTCAAATTTAGAACTGTATATGAAATTTTAATTTCTTGAGACTTCATATTTTTTATTCATCATCCGTTGCTATACTGTCAATATCAGAAAATTTTATAGGCTTTTGTTGACATTAAAAATAATGGTGTTTTCAATATCTTAGTGAAAGGTAAAGTAATGAACACTTGATTTCTTTTCTTTTGAGATTTCAAATATGCATCATTCATTATTGCATTATGAATTTTATAAGCTGAAAATGGATTAATTCATGCTGTTAAACTGTGTTTCAAATAAACAGTAAACTTTCACTTGTTTTAATTCATTTAAATAGAGGACAGATGTTTTTACATTAATTTTTAATTTGTGTTGCAAATGGACACAATTATGCTGTATTCTATGCAATATTTTAGGTATTGCTATATAAAATGTGGCCCAGACAAGATAAAATTAATTCAGAGATTAATATTTTCTGAAGCTTGTTTAACCTGGGGAATTCTGGGTAAACTTCATTTATGAATATAAAACTGAAATCAAATCATTTTTAATACTCATCTTTGTTTTCTTTTCCTTTTAGCCTCAAGATGCAGAAGAGACTTGTGTGGTTCATAATTTCCTGCCACACCGGGTAGTTCAGCCTCACCAATGTCTTGTGTGTAAAAAAATAATATGGAATCAAGGCAGTTCATGTGTGGGTGAGTAAATTTTCTTCATCTTATTTGATTTTTTTTTTCAACGCTGTATTTTATTATGTTATTTTCTCCTTTTAACTTCCGCTTGTTTACACATTTTTATATTTTGAATAATAACCAGGTTGCTTTACTTTATGCAGTAGTTTCAAAATCTTTATAATAGTTTCCACTTTGTATCAAAGATGATATTTTTTTTTTAATAAACTGATTTAATGTGCTAGAAGATTGAAAATGAAACAAGTCCCAGATGTAAAATGCTCAATTTATTTTGTTGTTCAAGGGGATATGGACATAAATATACTTGAACTTGGAAAACTCATATTTGAGCTTTTAACTGAAAATTTCGTTTACAATTTGAAGCAGTAACATAAAGGATATCAAATTAATATTTACCTTCAAAATGCTTGAATGGATTTAATGCTCTTAAAAATACAAATACTACTTTTAAGAAATCTTTTAAATTTTTAGTTTATGTTTTGAGTACTTTGAAATTTGAGACTGAACAATTTCTATATTGGGGAGAATAGATTGTAAATAAAATTTTCAGAAGTCTTAAGTGGTATCTGTTTATGCATATATATATATATATATAATATGCTTACTCTTATGTATTGTGTATGTTTGTGTATAAAGTTTTTCTACATCACCCAAAAGGTCTACAATATAGAAATGAGTGAATAGCTTTTTTCTGTGAGGTGGGCACTTATGCTGATGTAGTAGAAATGTTACACCCTATTATGTTGTGTCATAAATAATTTCCGTTTTTATCAACCCTTATTCATCAAAATATAAAAAACAATTACATTTAATTCAATTATATATTCACCATTATTTGCAAAGGAACAGGAATTAGTCCTTAACAGACAACTCATTGAGACATTTAGAGTAAAATTTCACAGATTTTGATGCAAAAAGTTTACAAAGAGACAACATTTTCACTATTGATGAGTGCAGGTTATATTTCATTCAAATTTTTATGGACACATTGCAACTACTGGATATTTAAATGTACATTTAGTGTTCTACAGTATAAAAATACCCTGTTGATCCAATCACATGAACAACATTACCTTTCTTCTATGAAACTCCATTTTTGGGGTCGACTGAGGAGATTTATTCTTGTTAATTCATTGCCTTTGCATTGACCATTGTCATATGTTAGTGCATTCCAAATTTATTCTTAACTACCATATATGATTAGTAGATAGGATGATTACAATTAGTTTCCCAAAACAGAAAATGCTTCTGACTCAACATAATATTTATTCATAGAAATATTGTGTTCAAGGAACTCTTAAATTGCAATTGCCTCTGTAAATAAAAGCTATGTTTAACAATTATTTTCATTTATTATAACAGTTTCTTCATTTACAGCAAGGGGACATCTGAGCCATTGTTAGCTTTGCATAACCCATATCCTCCTAGCATCAGTTTAAACTGAGACATTCATTTTTTCCCCATATATTGTGAGAATTTTGCTTAATGTTCATATTTTCTTGATTTGAGATGAGAATTTGAAGATTTTCTAATATATTTCAGTGAAATTTTCACTTTAGAAAATTATGGTTTATTGTTTAGACATATGGTAAAAAGCTGTCTGTTTTAACTGACACTAGAAGGCTGTGGGTTAATATTATTTTAATTTAATATTAAAGAGGTAATGAATATGAAAAAGAAAATGCAAAACAACATGATTTTTTCTTATATAATATAAATATGTTATGAAAAAATTGCTGAAATATTCCACCATTTTTGATGGTATAAAATATAAAAATATGATATATTTAATATAGAATAAAATATAAAAGCATGACATAAAATGTATAAAAAGCAAGTATAAATTTATTTTATAGTCTTTATATATGTATAATAATATGAACATAAGAGTGATCTTTTACAAAACAAAACTCAGTAAATTAGTCATTCATTTTAATAAATGTTACCAAAATTGCAATATTGCTTCCACAACTCATCTGGTGTTTCTGTTATATATTTAGAGATTCTTGATAAAATACAAAGAATTTGCAATGTTATTAGTCCTGACCTGGCATCTTGGCTTCAATCACTTTCTCATCTCCATAATATAGCATCCCTGTGTGCCTTTTCTATAAATATTTTCATGGTAAAATATTAAGAAATAGAAAAATTTCATTAGAACTAAAGAAAAGTCTATTGAACTGTTACATAATATCACTCCTCCTACATGGCAGTGAATTGAAGCAATAGAAACATAAAAAAAGAATACTGAACTGTTATGTAATATTAGTCCTCCTACATGGCAGTAAATGCTGGGCAATTATCTCTGTACAGATAAAGAAGAGATAAAGCAACAGAAATGCGGTTCTACAAAAGGATGACGAGAATACCATGGCTAAATATGTATGCAACAACAAAATTTTAAAGAAAATGGAAACAAAAAGAACACTTATAATTAATATCAGAAAGAGATTGTTGAAATTTCTAGGGCACATAATGAACAAAGAAGGCTCAGAAAATTTGATACTCACAGGATATGTTGAATCCAAGAGGGACAGAGAAAAGCAATGCATAACCTACCTAGGAAGCTTGTATGACAGATAACAAAAAAGCAAAATTTAAGAGCTCCAAAAGACTGGAAATTGTGGAGAGCCATGATCGCCGATGTCCTGAAGGGATATGGTACACAGAATAAGAATCAGGAAAGTGGGCTTGGAGAACTCAACATACTCAAGACACATTGAAAGCAAAAGAATCAGAGAAAAGCAACAAGTACTTGATAAGATTAAATGGGTGGCAGAACAAATGCTACAAAGAAAAAATACAGGGACAAGGAACAGGAATTAGTCCTGAAGAGTAATAATTGTGCACATCCTGAAAAGACATGGCAAATAGAGAGATTGTTTTATTCATGAAATACCAATGCACTTTTGTCTCATTGGCCCAGTAATAGATGGCAGATGTACCCTGTGTTGGCAACTGACCCATCTTTATATACAATTATTTTCCATTTGAACTGACCACTGTCCAAAAACATCTGTCTTTTTCTTAGATTAACTAATGGAGCCAAAAGTACAAAAGATATTGATTAACTGGATGACTGCCATACAGTTGGATGGTCATGTCAATTTATTGCAATATCTCAAAGAGCAGAAGTATTGCTAAATTGTCAAATTAAGGAGAAAGCATTCTGAGCTATATATTGCTGAATCTTCATTCCACAGAACAGTACATTTGGTTCATGCCAAATAAAGTGTGGTTAGTGTAATGATTATTGGTAGAAAAAATAGAATCAGTAAGCTGAGTTCAAATTCTACTTGAAGCTGTTTATATTCACTTTGCAGTCATGTTCTTGGGAAAGGTATAAATCCATCTCTTTTCCACCTATCTATGGGGTCAGGGAAGTAGTAGGGTAGACGAAAATTCACAGCTAGGACCCGCCATGCTACACACATTATAGCAAACAACCCTTATTTTCCTCTGTATTCAATTGGTGAGAAGTAATTCCACTCAAGCAGCTCTTTCTTGCAAAGCACTGCTCTGTGTAACCAACTTCAAACAGGATGTTTTCCTTGATCACTACAATCTTAACCTGTTCAAGTCTACAGTTAACCGTTATCTTCCCTACATATCCACATAAACTGTGTCCTTTACTCTGTCTCTTTTGTTGCATATACATAGACACACACACACACATATATATATAAATATAAATATAAAAATGAACATTGAAGTCAATACTTAGAGGCGACAGGCTTTTTCATCTTAGACACATTCGTCAGGCAGCCTGATGATTGCATCTAGATGAAACAGCCTGTCACTTCTGAGTGTTGACTTCAATGTTCACTTTTATATTTACATACACTCAATCTCTGATATTGAGTACATTATCCCATAAATATAGCACACTATAAACTATATTTCTGCATATATATATATATATATATATATATATATAAAAGTGGACATTGAAATCAGTACACAGAGGCAACAGTCTATCTCATGCTTAAACGCAATCATCAGGCTTTTACCCATTGCATCCTCTCTGTATATATATATATATATATATATATATATACAGAGAATATATATATATATATATAGAGAGAGATATATATATATATATATATATATATATATATATATATATATATATATATATATATATATATATATACCCTCTTATGGTAGTCTTTATGGAACTTTTACCAGTCAGCTTTTTTTGTGCTGAGATCCCAGTGTTCCCCGTGGCATTGAATATTCTTTTGGTACACCTGTTTACTTTTTTGTTTTCCTCCACCTAATGTTTGCATTAAAACGTATGAAACTTAGTTGTAGTCAATCGCTGTTCACTGGAAATCTAATTACAATATATTAAGGCTCTGCCATTTAATATGGCATTGAGCTATCTTTCTACTCTGTCTTTATAGCAGACTCTCTTAGGAGCTGCTTATTTTATTCATATATATGTGTGTGTGTGTGTATATTAAATATATCATATGTACTTCAAGATACTGTCTCCTGTGGTGAATGGTATTTCATTTAATGTTTGCTGTTTATTTTGTATAATAATATCTTTGGGGGTTTTTAACCTTTCCTTGCACTGGATGCTGTAGGATATTTGTCTTATGTTGATTGTTGTATTTTTGTTGTTTCTAATGTTCTGGTTGATATGTGCCCAGATTGTACTGACTTTCGACAGGTGACACATCAGTCTACAAGAGAACGTGGTGCATGTACTAATGTTGAAGATGCAATCTCCCAGGGGGCATGAGAATTTATAAGCAACATTATTTTTACATGGAGGGGTGATTGAAGCCCATGTTGTTGGTAATGATAAGATTAGATGTTTTAAACCTTTTATAGTAGATGATAAATCTTAGATGTTAGTATCATTGAGTGATATGTATTGGTAAATTATATTTTCAATTACTTTTTCATCCTGTTTATTATTCAAGTGCATCTGGTTATGATAGAATAAGTTAACTGTGTTTAATTTTGTTGATATCAGGGCAGTGTCTTGTTTATTTTTCTTTTAAAGTTCATTAAGTCTAATTTTATTTGTTTTATCAAATACCGAGTTAGGGACAGTATTACTGATTAGAGTTTGTGTGTGTATATATATATATATATATATATATATATATATATATATATACACACACACAAACTCTAATATATATATATATATATATATATATATATATATATATATATATATATATATTCATACACGTTTCATTAAATAATATAGACGAGTGTTGTCTATTTATTTTATGTAAATTTTTCGTAATGTCTGATAAGTTTAACAACATTATTGTTGAACGAAGAAAGAAATTCACAATATTGATCCATATTTTTTTATTTAATACAATCTAAGCTTTTGGCTTACATAAGCCATTATCATTGATAGTATTGTGGGCTGCTGGATGTTTGTTATATATATATATATATATATAACAAACACAAAAACATGCATAGTGCTTATGTGTAAGTACTTGGGCTTTGTTCTTTGTTAGGGGCTGAGGCTGGGGTCTTAAAAGTGGCTTATGTTAAATCTGGAGGCATCATCACAGTTCTTTTTTTAGAAAATGTTTTAAACTTTATGTTTTATGCCTTGTTACACATATTTTAAACAGTATTTTCAATGGTTGTATTGATCTATGCGTATTTAAAAACAGTTATTTTATGTATGAAAGAAAATTTACATTAAAGTGTGTGGTCAGCAATACTATTTTTTTAAAAAGGGTCTGAAATGTTTCTAAAGTGTTTAGAATGAACATTTAAGGCATGTGGGGTTTTAACAATCAAAATAGGTACTTATAAGCACTTTTAGGGGTTTACAAGTATTTGCAGATTCTAACTATATGCGGTCGGTTCTGGTCCTTAACCCCCACGAATACGGGGGACTCACTGTATAAATATTTTCAAGACACATGAAAATTCACATTGATGCCCTATCTGATCTCCCTTTTTGGTGCAACATTTGTGCAAAGGCTTGTTAAGGATGGTTTAAAAAGTCATCTGCGCTCTCGTGATTGGTGAAATTAAAATAAATAAATTACAATTTATACGTTTTTGTTGGTGGCATTTTTAACCTCTTGACCTGTTTCAAATCAAGTCATCTTGAAAACATTTAAATTATTTTTTTTTTCATTTCCACAAGAACTCTTTTTGAGATAGATGTGTATGTATCCTTTCCCTCATTAATATATTCCTGTAAGTTTAGTTAAAGATTACTGAAAGTTCTTTCAGTATCTCTCTATATTTGAGATGAGGTATTATGTACATTATTTACATTATTCGGACTATTGTCCTCATCTTTGTCGCCATATTTATTACAACATTTCGGCCATTGTACGCTCCGGCTTTCTTCAGGTGGTTGGAATGTTGAACTGAACCCTTTATTTCGGTCACTGGGGTAGACTGTTCTAGTTCCACGTGCCATGTTTTTTTAATGGATGTCAGTTATCAGTTATCTCCTGTTAATTTCCCTCTGAAAGTTCTCCACTGCTTTAAATGTGTATTGAACTCACACTCTTTGGGTCCTGTCGCTGGATCTAACCAACACCTTTATCCACTGTGACATGTGTCCTTGAGGACACATGGTACAGTGAGCGAAATAAAGGGTTCAGTTCGACATTCCAACCACCTGAAGAAGGCCAGAGCGTACAATGGCTGACACGTTGTAATAAATATGGCGACAAAGATGAGGACAATAGTTCAAATAATGTAAATAATGAAAGTTATTTGTTTATGATTTGTTTTATTAATTTAAAAAAAAAATGTATTTAATTTTCTCACAATGTTTCTAAGTTCTGAAATGAGGTTGAATAGAAATTATCCAATATATTCAGAATGTTTTCATCTTTCATAAGCCATAAATTTGTGACTAAATAAGAATTCATCTAGAGATATACATTGTGTTTCTTGATAAGTTTTAGACATCATGCCTTCATCCATCAGCTGGTGATGTGTCTTGTTTTTATAACTTGCCATAGCCTCCATAAGATTATACTATGAACAAAAAGGCACCAAAGCAAACTGCCATCTTAATTAGAATTAAATAAGAGCAGTTCAATGCTTAAAGGTCATTGGTTGGTGATGAGATCACTAAAACTGCCAGTCTCCGATCTACCAATTAGTCAACCAAAATTTGAAATGGAGTTGTATTAAGTGGTATCATGTTATGGGGAGGTAAATCAGAGTTTGATCAGCCCTGATTGGGTCAATGGGGGAATGGATTCTGATGTTGTGATTTTAGTTATAAAGCTATCACTGGTGACACCGCTCTTAGTATTGGAAAGGTTTATTTTGCAAAATATAGGGAAATAGAACATAGAATAAGCTGTGTTAGAGTTAGTTTGGCTCAACACAACAAATTACTAAAAATACCAAGCAACTCGTCTTTAAGCAATTGTTTTCAAATTTGACTAAAACTTACGCAACTACAGCACTGACATCAGTGTGGCTTAAGCAACTCAAAAAAAAGAAAGAGAAAACAAGAATTAAATTTAAACTAAATTTTATACTCTTGTCAAAAATTCTACTTATTCAGTTACACTGAAATGTCTTTCTTTTGTATTTATTATTGATTTGATTTTTACAGCTTATCAACTTTTGCAAGCCAGAAAATATTTTTATAGTGTAAGAATTTTTGTGGGGAGGGATATAATAATGATTTAGTGATACAAGTCCTACTTATTAACCCATAGCTGGGGGGAGAAGACGTAAATTCATAAATTTTCCAAGGTTATTTGCATATATATATAACAAACCAAGCTGGAAATTGAAACTCGACTCTCCAACTCTATGCCATTATGTATTACACCACCCAAACATCCATGCTTACAGCATATGGTATTCCCAAGCAGTCACCCATCTCACTACTGACCAGGCTCAACATTGCTTAACTTTGGTGATTGTATGAGAACCATTCTTTCTATATGATATGGCTATAAACCCTCTACTTATTAGACTCAAGCATAAAAATCTTAAGTTGCTTACAAAAAAAAAATTGTGTGAGTGAAGATATAATCTCTAGATATTAAGATAAAAACACAAACTGATATCTTCTGTCTACCTTTTCCGCTCAGTGTAGATAACCTATAAATATTTTGTCATATTTTTTCTTGTATTTGAAATGGATATCATAATTTTATTTTTAATTTATTTTTACTTTTCATACTGTTATAACCTAGAAAAGGTTACTGAATAGAATAAACAAATGAAGGTTGCTAATGAATGATAATACTTAGGACAAGAACAACAACATATAAGATTCACCAGTGGTGCATAGAAGTAGTCAATTGCTAGAAGTGAGTCAAGTGAATTCCACAGTGAATCTCCAACAGTAGACCAACATACAGTATTCACTACTGTTTATCGGAATGGAGACACACATTATCATCCATAGGTATACTCTAACACATACTTTGGTCAGTTTTATGGTTTCTTTTTTTATTCAAAACTTTTTCAGAAATATTCATTATCAGCTATTTGGTTTTGCTTGTTTAGCTTTGTGAGAATGAATTTAATTTGTTTGCTTTCTATGTGAGTTTTATGTTACTACCATATCTTGAGCTTGTCATGAATTTGTTTTGTGTCAAATTTGTTACTGATGGGTTTGTTGTCAAGATATTTGTTTTTCTTTTAAAATTCATTTAACTTTAAATATTGTCTTATCTCAACCCCATCTTTTCATGTTATTTTTAGTTGTGGATTTAACCTTTTACATGATACTTGTGTGTTTACAATAGCAAGATGATATTTTATTGGGTCAAATTTAGACATCTGTATGAAGTATTGTTGTAACCTAGGGAAGGTTACTGAATAGAATAATCATACGAAGGGTGGTCATGAATGATAATACTTAGTACAAGAACAACACACATAAGATTTGCCAGCAGCATATAGAAGTAGTCAGCTGCTAGAAATGAAAAGTGAATTCCACAATGAATCTCCAATTGCAGACCAACATACAGTATTTACTGCTGTATTTATGTGAATGGGGACATACCCATTGTCATCCATAGGTATGCTACAATATAAAAACCATTTGTAACCAAAAAAATTTATGCAAGTAACTGCTTGTAAAATTATATCTAACTTGTTGCATGATCTAAAAACATGATTACCAAACTTCTTTTTATGAAGTACTTTGCTGTGTCAATCATTGAACTCAATTTAAATTTAAATTGTAATATTTTCACATATTAAAAATTAGGGATGCTAGCTAATCTATGTTGCAGATGCCTGTTCAGGTACATTTGTGTTTGTTCTACAACCACAGAGCCAACTTGTGGTTTATACTGCAACTATACTGAATCAATCTTCGTTACAGTTTCTGGGAGAGAGCACATCATCTGGCATTACCAACAGTTTAAACAAGGCCAGTATACTCAAACCCTCAGTCATGTTGACGTGTGGATTTGTGCCAGCACAATCATTGTTGGCTTTTGAATAGTTCTGTTTACCCAGTTTTACTCACAACACTTGGGTCAACCTGTGGAGTATTTTTCAAGTACTTTCAAATGGGACTTCAGAGAAAAGACTGCCCTCTTCTAAGCTACAAAGACTAATTCAAAAGAACACTGAAAGCCACTGGACTAAATCATTTGAAACACAAGCCTGAGAACATATCAACTGGCAGTGTTCAATCATTATCAGAACCAAAAACTTCAAAGTCACCATAAGAGATAAGGAAGAAGTCAACTAATAAGAGAGAAAGGCTTAAATAAATTGATGTCATCCACCACCAACATTACTATGCAGTCAATGCCATTTCATGCAAGAATTGGTCTACTTAGTCATCAATGCCATCATCATAAAGGAAGTGATTAGAAAAGAAGAAATTAAATTCTTGGATACAAGATAAAGCTGCCACTACTGACAGGTATGCTGGGATCACCTTCCCAGGCTGATAACATCAAGAGGTCATCTCCCTAATAAAATCAACCATGGTAAGATTTAAACTCAGATCTCATTATCAGAAAGCAAAAATTCTTACCACTCAGCCATATTCCCAATAAAAACATAGTATGTTTTGAAATGAATTAATTGATTATTGACTTAGTTATAGATATCTATTTCCAATATAATTAATAAGAGTATATAACTGCACACAGATAAAAAAAAATATGAATAAGAATGAAAAAGACTTAGAAAATTACTCCAGTGGGTCTTTGCTATTTAAGACTGAACACAAAGTAATCTATACATTTATATTATTTATAGTTTTAAATTGTGGCTTATATATTTGCAAATAGATTCTTGTATTGTTTTCTCAGTTCATCAACAACTAAAATGGATAGCACATGTAACTGAAAGAGAAAAGAATGGCATAATCAAGATGCTGATATTCCACACTACTTTAAACAAAAGGTTAGAAAAGAAACCCCAATCAATACTGGAAAGAGCTATAACAGACTTGAAAAACCTATTTTCCTGAAAAAATTTTTCATAAGAAGGATTTTATAAATTTCAATCAAAAGTAGCATTAGCTGCTCAGTCAATGAATACCAAATGTTTCCTTATAAGGAAATGCCTGATATTACCATTACCAATAAAAAGAACATATACTACACTTTGATCTCAGTCTGATGGCCAAGGAGTGAAGAAAGTAATACTTGTTGCTTGGTCAATGAATGTCAAATGTTTCCTTATATGGAATCAGCTAGTATTACCATAACCATTGTATTTAAGCTCTTTATAATATACTCTATCTAATGATGATCTGATTTCTGGTTGAGGTTTGTTTGTAAAAAAACAGCAAAAATAAGAAGTTGTAGTGTAATTTATGTTAGCACAATGCCATTCAAAGATACTCATTTGAAGAATAAGGCAATTTCCCATTCAGTATATAATTTAATAATGTGGTATCTGTAATTATAATCCTCTTTTTGTATATTTGTAGACATGTTTGATTTGTTGAACTGGGATATATTTTTGTATTGGAGTGAGAGATATATTTATGTGATAAGTTTTAATGGCAATTGCAGATGCATAAGTTTTTATTTTAAAGGAGATAGTGCAGATTGTTATATGTGATATATGGCTTGGTTGGGATTAAGAGAAAATGTGACACGTCCATGCCATCATGTAATTGGAGAGAGAGAGAGAGTAGAGAGAGTGGGTTCATGTTCCTTTATACTGCTTTGTACAATGCCACCTAGTGGACACCAGGTGAGTTTCCTTGACACACAAAGTGGAACAAACAAACAATTTGTGAGAAAAACTGAATAAATATATTAATATTGAAAGCCTTAAAGATATTAAAAATTACTAATTACTAAAATTACTGATGTCAATAAAATAATAATATCTTTATTGTGTAATAGACAAACAATACTTTTAAAATAATACTTGTATTTCTCAGTGAGTTAGTTACTCACTTAGTCATTCAAGTTCTGTAGGTGATATTGAAGAGTATAGAACCACAGCTCTTAGCATGCTAGGTGTTGCTGTTATATGATGGAGTTACCAGTGCTATACTCAAGCAATTCAGATTTGTTCTTCTACTAGACTGGTTACCAATCAAGGCAGAACAACCCTATTTAACACATAGATATTGGGAGAAAAGATGGTTTCATGCTTTTCTCAAGGGTATTTGCACAAAAGGGAATGTAACAAACTTGACTGGAATTCAAACTTACCTTCTTAATTTCTCATTCTAAGTCACTAACCATTATTTCACCTGCACATCCACTTGTTACTCTACCAGAATAAAAAATGCATGCTATATTGAGAGTTTTGTTTATGTTAAAACATTAAAATGCTCTAACTTGAAATCTAAAGCAATTTCTATTTGATGTAATGCACCTGTCACCTCCATGAGTGACTACACTATAGGTAGTAACAACCTATAAGTATCTGTAAGTCAACGGACTACAGAGTCTAGCTGGGATGGACTCAGACTTACGTGAGAACTACTGACCTTCCAATAGTAGCATTCACTACTGGATTGACTTGCAATGACCTTGTGCATAACTGTTACCTTCATTCTTGTTGTACTTGTTTTTTTCAATAAACCTTTACTTATTTTATCCACATTGTTTTTCAAGTATATATTCCTATTAGCATAGAATATAACACTATTCCAATGCTCTCAGCATTTATGTTCACCTTGAATGATCTGATTCTCAAGGGAGATAACTCCAGATATATTCATTTCTATTTATAGGATTATGTGTGTAGCATAGTGGTTATCTGCACAGAAAATAGGATCAGGATGTTCAGATCAAATTATGGACAAATCCATTCAATTTCATACAGATAGCCTTGGGAAAGGTATGAATCCATTTCTGTTGACTATGGGTTAAATATTAGAAATGAATAGGCTCTCTAGCCTTGGTTAGTAACTAGTCTAGGAGAAGGATAATTCTAAATTCAAAACCAGATGGGTATGAGGCTGGCAACTCAGTAAAAAGCATATTTACTATGGAAACCACGGCAACAACACTGACATGGTGTGGCTGTGGCTCCTTACAGTGAGAAGGCCTCATATCTCTTTTTCATGTCTAAAGTATTTAACCATTTTTATTTGCAAATAATTATAATATAAATCGAATAAATATACAATGTTTTTTGTATTAAGCATAATGGCCAATGACAATGGAGTTGAAATATTCCCAAAATGTCTCCTTCTGTGAATCTATTCTTTTATGTATGAATATTGATATTTTTTAAGCTTAGGTTCATATAACATAAGGCTGAATAGTGAGAAATGCAGAAAGGAAGATTGTGTTAAAACAATCTCCCAAATGATGAGAGCCTACCTACCTTGAAAATCATTTTATGGTTTACCCCATTTGTCTGCTAAAGAATTTCTGCTAAGGACTGTCATATGGTATTGTCAAAAAGCAGTATATAAAAAAAAGTGCAGAAAAGTTTCTTTTTTTGTCTCTTTTAGCCACATTATGTCTTAGAGATGATTTGTCTTGTTTCCCATCTGAAGG